AGTAGTGGAAGCTGGGCTACGGGACCTGGCAACCTCAACAAACACTTCGGTATCAATACTGCCAGTGGCTATCTTCTGGGTTCATCACATAGCAATCTTGATGAGTCCATCCCCATCGCCCCCCACATGGGGCTACCAGTGCCACCACCATGGCCATGGCCAATGCCGTTACTGTACCGCCACTACCACCACACAACTGAGAAGTGACAACTACGGCTTTGAAGCCAGGCCTGCTGGTTCCCGAGCCTGTGGTCTTACATACCATGCTTTCTCCTGCACCCAGAGTCACAAACCTGGCTTTCCTTCCAAAACACTGGGATGGGCACATCGCAGGAAGGCACTTTGCTACCAGGCATCTTCAGCAAACACGGCCACTCGGGTCTCTCTAAAAACACAGATGCAGAGGGGCGGGCCTTCTTGTCCAGCAGCTCTCAACGAGCGTGGTCACGTCCACGCCTCCAAAGCGCCCAGGGCTCACTGCTCTATACAGACCTCGAGCTCAACCCATGTGCCAGCCGCCCAGAGAGGACAAAAAGGACACTGATGCAAAGAGAAGTTTAGATTTTCCAGGGAAAAGATGCTTGACTCCTGAGGGCTTTTTCCCCTCCCCTGTGATGCAGGTTCTAGAGCCAGGGGACACGTGTGAGGAAACCACCTCCCAGAAGGATGAGGACTACCTCTAGGGGGCGCTTCCCGAGAGACAGCACTCTGTTTTGTTTTTAAAGTAATGCTTTAAACTCCAAGTCTAAACTATTTTCTCCAAAAATGTGGCAGTGCCTTCAAGACAGGTGAGTGACAGTCCATTCCTATCCCCATAACTTGACAATTTCTGCCACATGAAAGACATTTCCAGATGACTTCGAATCGGTGTAAAATGAACACATTGATGATAACTCATGCAAAATGCATATGCTTAGTAGCATTTTAATGAATCAATACATATTTATTGTTTGAAAATACGAGATTATGGCATTGCTTTCTTTATTGGAAACTGGAAACTACTTAAAAACAGTCCGCTTTAAATATGACTGCTATAATTACTCAGCTAGAATATTTTGTAATATTAAATTTCGATGCTAAATTTTCCATAAAGTTAAAATTCTATAAAAATCTATCATAAATGAAAATGATGAAAGACTAAGCCACTAAAAGCAGAGTCAACAGAATCAGGTCGGGTCTGAATAAAAGCTGCTGTCCCCCCCCCACCCCGACACATGAAAAGACAAAAAAACAAAAAACAAAAACCTTGACCACCAAATATTTACAAAATGTCAAAATAGTGACCTGGATATTCTTCAACTCACTTTTATAATAAAATGATTTTGAAAAAGACCTGTACATATTTTCTAAAGAAAGACTCATTAGCAATAAAACTTGAACGTCCGGGGCATGAGTTAAATCCTTGTAATTCTGCAGCAAAACACTCTCCCCTCCAAACAGGATGCACCAAGCGTTTAACACATTAATTATCATCCTTCATCAAGCATAAAACTAACAGTCGGGAAATACAGCTGCAGTGGCACAATGACCAACACACTCGGAATACACCCCGCAGCAAAGAAAACAAGTGGGTTGCTTTTCATTAACAGAGCCTGGCAAACCTCTCCAAAGACAATGTTTTCCTTCCAGCCAGAGCCCCAAAAGGCATTTAAGGGGTGATTTACTTAGGTGAATCTGGAGAACAAATAAATCGTAAGTCTCTATTTAAATTTCAAAAGTATTCATTATCAATATATAGTGCCATTCAGAAGAAAATTATATGCATTCGATGACTTGATCAAATCTAAGTCTAAGGGATTTTTTAAATCCATCCCTTATATTTAGAGGGTTGGTAAGTCAGGTAATATCCTCAGGCTTGACAGTGATACAGAAGGTTCTGATGGTTTTCATTTTCTCATTTCACAGTGGATGGCAGAATATGCAACACGCCTCCATCTATGCAATGACGGCTGTGCAATAACAGAATTCTATTATTCAGGTGTGAATCCATATAAAAAATAATTAGCTATTAGCTTGAGGTTCTAGATGAATGGCATTCAAGAGACATAATAAAGGCTGAGTTTATTTGGTTGACTTCTGGATACTTAACATTCTCGATATTACTATAATCATATTACACCTTAACAGATGTATCACTCCTACTGAGTTTGTATTCAAATCAAACCATAAACTGGTACTTAAACCATAATTTAAGAAAGGCTCTGGGGATGAAAAAGGCAATAAAGAGTCATCTGCCCAAAATATTTGCAATTATATCCTGAACCATTGCCATTGAACTTTCCCTAAGTCTTCTGCCCAGAAATCCTCTGACATAACAGCTGGATCCATCAGTTGGATCCTCTCTTCAGGACTAAATACCAGGGCAGAAATTAAGGGGCCGTGTTCCCTTCAGCACAGGAGGCCAGGGGTACACAGAAGGACCCTTCCATTCTTGTGGCACAAATCCGACTTCATGTTGTACTTCACATGCAATTACCGTATTTTTCAGACTTTAAGATGCAACCCCCCTTCGCCCCTGCAATTTGGGAGGAATAATGGTTGTTAATGCTGCTGTTGAGTTCTACTTATATTTACATTGGTGAAATATTATGTTATTTATGTTATTAAATATTTTACACTTTGAAAAATTTTCCCTATTTTCCTCCTCTAAAACCTAGGTCCATCTTATGGTCCAAAAAATATGGTAGCTCAAACCTGAGCTTCTTTCAAACCATACTTGGGGTAGGCATCGCTTCTTCCTCCTGGCTGATAGTGGTACATCAATTGTCTTTCAAAAGACAACCTCTGAAGTTGCATGTAGTATAAAACAAAATCTTACACACATTCATGCCCTGAAAACAACTTTCTGCTTTATCAAAGAATGAGTCATGGGATTCTGCTCAGGTCTGTGTAAAAACCATAAACAGTGTGAGCTGTACTAATTTTAATCAATCTGAAGATATCCATAAAATCTATCTGATCTGGTGTGTCATTTAAGGCAATGGTTTCCTTGATTTTCTGTCTAGATCTCTCCATTGATGTCAATGCAGAGTTAACATCCCCTGCTATGGCTCTATCATGGTCTATCTTTCCCTTTATGTCTGTGAAGATTTGCATTATATATTTAGGTGCCCCTGTGTTGGTTGCATAATGTTTACAAGGGTTATATCCTCTTGTTGGATTGTTCCCTTTATCATTATGTAGTGTCCTTCTTTGCCTCTTGTTACAGTCTTTGTTTCAAAGTCATGTTGCTGCATACAGGAATTGCTGACCAGTTTATTTTTTTCATTTCCATTTATATAAAATATCTTTTTCCATCTCTTTGTTTTTAGTACGTGTGTCTTTTGTAGACAGCATATGTAAGGGTCTTTTTTAAAAAATTCTCACCTGAGGATATGTTTATTGATTTTAGAGAGAGAGGGAAGGAAAAGGGAGGGAGAGAGAGAGGGAGGGAGAGAAAGAAACATCGGCTGGATTGGTTGTCCCCTGTATGCACCCCAACTGGGTACCAAACCTGCAATCTAGGCACGTGCCCTGACTACAGATCAAACTGCAATGTGTTTTGTTACAGGGTACAATGAGACTCCAACCAACGGGGCCACCCAGCCAGGGCAAGGTCTTGTTCTCCTATTCAGCTATCCCATGCCTTTTGATGGAAGCATTTAAGCCATTTACATGTAAAGTGATTATTGATAGGTAAGAAGGCATTGCCATTTTATTCTTTATAACTATGTTCCTCTTTTTTTTTCTTTTCCACTTTTAATCAATGGCCTTGGTTGGGATAGTTCCTTCCCCCTGATTTACTGAAAGCAGCAGTAAATCAGGGGGAAGGATTGCAGTCCTTACCAACAGCAGCCACACTGCCCGCGCGATGAAGAAGGCTGTGGGTTCCCTGCGTGCAGGACAGTTGGCTGGAGGAAGGAGGATTCGTGAGAAACGAATCTCTCCCCTCGAGTGCTCATAGTCCCGCCAACAAAACAGGGAAAGACGCATTCTGACTCCATTCATGCAGCCTGTCAGGAAGCAAACGAGCGGCTGACAGGGATCATGAAGAACACACCCCATGGCCAGGTGTCCGGCAGGTACATCACAAGGTGACTGGACTGCCTTGGGTTCCTCTTGGGACCTTCCTTGAAAGGGCCAGGCTTTCACTCTCCCTTCAAAGGGTTTCTGTCTTAGTATTTTTGTGGATGCAGTGACATCAAAAACATCTCAAAATCAAAGAGGCGCTTAATGACAACAAAAAATAGCTTTTTAATGTTTGTTAAGCAAGATGGTAAGACACAAATTGCCTGAAAAATTAGAGAGAGAGTAATTTCAAGGTGAACTTGAATGGCTCTTTCCTGGTGTTTTTGTTTTAAGGATATGACCTGGCAACTAAGTGTTCACTCCCCATTCTTAAAATCCTTTTGGAACCCAAATCACTTCCTTGTCTTGACAGGCACTCACCCTCAGCAGCCACCAGAGAGCAAAGCACTTCCACCTTCAGCTGCAATCCCCAGGAATTAGACATTGTGCATGTACCTCTTTTAAGCTGAGAAATAATTGAGTTTAATGTTGCTGTTGCAATTAGAGAATATTACTCTAAAGTCTTATGGAAAAATCCAATTCTACATTGGATGGTGCTCATAGAATAAAATGTTTTTTTGCCAGAAGGGAAGAAAAAAAACACCTTCTCCAGCGAGCCTATTTGAATTCAATAATTAAAAAGTAATGGAATGTTCTGGACTTGTCCAGTCTCTTCTTCAGCAACATCAAACTAGCTTTCTGAAGGAGCAGGACAGGCTGGGGTTCACCACAGTTCATCTCCTGGGGACATGCACCCCAAGGTGCAGCTCGTGTGTTTGGGTTATTGTGGCTTCGAATGTTGGTGCTATAAAGAGGACACCACTGAGGGCCGTAGTTCCCACTTTGGTGTTTGGGGTCTATCAGAATTATGCTGCTTGCCACAATGGACACGGTGACAGAAGCAAAACTTTTCTTTTCATAAGATTTTCTAATGGCCTCTCAAGCTTTCATACCTTTAATGTAGTGAATTCATAGGGCTGGTAGCCTTTGAAGCTCTCATGGATGGCTGCCATGGTGTGAGAAGTTTTCTCCCAAAAATGAAGCAGCGTGGTCTGTAAAGAAAGACAGCACAGCCATCAATGTTCTGAATGCCCTGCTCTGGTCATGGGCCCCAGAGAAGTGTGCCGGACTGTGGCCATCGAGGTCCTCCAGAGGGACGCCAGCCCATCTCGGCAGACTCGTTTCCCACTATGCCCCTCCTTACACCCTGTATTTCAGCCAAAGTAAATGTCCCCCTGTGCCCCCAAACACATCCTCCACCTGCTCACGTCCTCAACCACCTGGGGCCTTCTCCTCTTCATTCTCTCTGCACTTACCCCGGATCCCACCTCCTGAGCCCAGGGCTAATCATTAACAGTATACTTTTGTGATCCCTCAACTGATTCTATGTCCCCCCTCTTCAAACCCTCGTCAGATTCAGTGGAACCTATTTTTCCTGGCACACCCTGGTCTGTCCTTGGGGTACAGAAAATACACTCGGACCTCACTGTCTCTGACTTCCTTCCTGAACCTTCAGTTCTCTGGGGACAGGGAATCTGGTCTTGTTAATGTTTATAGATTTGGCCTCCCACTCTTGGTCAGTGCTCAAGGTACTTTGATGGATACAAAGTGCTAACCAGCAGTTAGTAGGGGACAAAACCAAGTTCATTGAATGAAGATGGACTGATGGGTAAGTGACTCTGCCATGGGAGGTATAGGCATTGATGCTGAATCCCAAGGAGGCTTTCTGAAGGGCATGGCACAGTCCGAAACGTCACACAGAGTGGGGTTTGGAAAGGCACACGTGGAGGGAACAAGGTGCTCAGGCCAAAAGCACCCCCCAAGCCCAGGTGGAGTGAGGAGGGGGCGGATTACAGTGCCATGAACAGGGAATGGCTAGTAATACTTGGCTTGATTAAATTGCAGTCTGCTGGAGGGCAGAGATGTAGGAAGCGAATTACAAGAAAGGCCCAAGCCATACTTTGAGCTTGAACACCATTTTTCTGTTATTTAAACCTCTTAACATTCTTGGTTCATTGCAACAAACATCACTTTGTTACCTGGTATGTTGCGAGCATATGAGACAAGAGATTGCATCTGCTTGCTCCAAGAAGATCCACTTTTTGACACACGTCCATCTTCAATTTGTCAAAGCTCTTTTTGGCAAGGCGCACTTGTGCTTGTACCTATGAAAGTAAAAGGAACCATTTTGAACCAATCAAACTCTTCAGTAGTTAAAATCTGCTGGTGGGAAAAGAGCAATAGTGGGTTTATGTTCTTCACATAAGAAAACACCTTTGAAAATTCCAGGTAGGTCAAGAAGACCCCAAAACATCCATTCTTTACCTCCAGAGAACCTCAATGACAGTACTGCCTATCATAGTTACATAGTGAACTTACCATCCTAATTGTACTTTTCTCAGACAAATATTACAATTCTTCTCCTCTCCAGCTATTCACAAACGGACCACGCTGGGGAGAAGTCTGGAAACACACAGGGTGGCCAGGGAGGAGTCTTCCCTCCTGTACTCCTACAGTTCTTTGAAGCTGGCTTTCCTGAATGTTAACGTCTTACATGACATGCTACATTTGTTAAACATGAGAAATGAATAGTGATACAATCCTATTAACAGCAGATGTCATTTGGGTTTTACCACCTTTTATCCTTTACTGTTCCAAGACTCAGCCTAGGATCCCACAACAGGGAATTGTGACACAGCCTGAAAATGACCTCCACTGATAAACTTCCAAGTTTTAAAATTGAGTGTGTGCATGGCGATCCTCCACCCACCCCCGGAGCCATGCAGTAATTCTGGGATGGAGGGAAGGTCAGGAGAAGATTCAGGAATTCTATACATTGTTTCATAATGAAATAGAAGGTTTTAAAATTTAATACAGCTACATTAAAAACGGTTGCATCCAAATTTCCCTTTGCTTCCATCGGAGGCATCACCATAGCAGATTTCACTCAGGGGAAGCCAGCCAGATACTCCTTGTTCTCAGACAGTTCATGCAGTGGTAGTTACCAGGCAGGGAACTGTGAGTTGGAAGTAATAATGGCTCTTTGATCACGGGACAGACACTGGGGGCAAGGACAATGTCTACCTTGATCACCATTATATGCTTAGCATCTAGCAACCGGGTACCAAGCAGCTGCTGAATACATATTTGGTGACTGAATAAAGATATTTTTCAGGCCATTTCAAAAGGTAAATCGCCCGAGTACCATTTTAAAGCATCACCTTCAAAGTAGTTTTAGAAGGGATGATTTTCTTTTCTAATAAAGATAAGCATAAAGATTATTTCATATAAAATACATTAATTTTTACCACTAATAATACTAATCTATATTCACAGCTTATAAAATTATGACATAATCATACTAGCCATTTAACAATGGAAACAACTGGACAATCGATATCATTCACCAGAGACACAAATGAACAGTTAAGACAAGTCACTCACCACCTACCAGCACTTATTCTCTCCCAGCCTCTGTAATTGCCCCTTTCACTCCTGGGGGTGAGAGGCTTCATCTGGGAAAGCAACAAACAGGCGGGGCTCCCTGCCAGAGCAGCCTGCCTGGTTCCTAAGCCATGCTTCCTACCTCCTCAGCAACTTACAGTAGCAGCTGAAAAATCAAGAGGCTCAAAATGATGGTTCTAGCCAGAGACACAAGTATTCCCTGTATATTCTATGGAGTTAAGAAATAACAGTGCACACATTTACTACCATGTGGACAGAATTAGACCCTAAGGGAACAGGGTCCCGTGTCTCTCTCTGCGTAAAACATTTCCTAACAATGTCTCTGTATTCTTCTTCTATGGAGCTGGGAAAACCGGAGAATGGAAGCCTCTCAAACTGCCCACACCTTGGGCTGACATCAGTCCCCAAGCCAATCCTTCCTCACTGGATCATGAAAAGAATTTAGAACCAGTTCAATATCAGTGGTTTGTCTGCCCTCCTGTGTGAGAAATAAGGAGACAGAGAAAAGAAAACCCGTGTTCCAGAGGGGAGAGGTCCGAGAGGGGAGGGAAGGGTGTGTCAGCAGCTGAGACCCTCTGTGGGTGCCCCAGTGGCTCCCCGGCGGCACCGGCCAGGAACCCCTCCTCCTCAACCGGGACCCCAGAGGCATCTGTCCTCACCCTTTTCTGCGGGGGCAGGGAGAGGGTGGGATTAATATGGGTGTGAGCATTCATGCATTCATTCATTCAACACACATAGTGAGCACTTATTATGTGCCAAAACCAGTGATGGGCACTGGGGTGTCTGTAAAGGAATAAGACACAGAGCAGCTGGTCAAGAAATACTTATCTTTTTAGTATTTCTTTAGTATAAAAGACCCCCTAATCTTTTAGAGAAGACAGACAAGTTAGCAACTACATTATAATACAACGGGAAAAGGATAACAGGACCCAGACTGAAGAACACGGGTAGCGCAGACAAGGGAATGATGAATGCTGGGGTGAGGGGTGGGGTAGGGGGTTGGGTTGATGGCTTTAAAGCCCCCAAGACTGGCTTCCCAGGAGCCTACCTTCTGCCCTGTAGCATTGTACTCTTTTCCCACTCTGCCTCTGGGCTTGGTGTGTGACTTCCTTTGGCCAATGGGATGCTAACAAATGTGATAAAACTGGAAGCTTGAAAAAAAATGCCAGTATGCTTCCACTTCCTCTCTTGCTTTGAGATGGCCGAGGTGGTGTGCCCAGGCCAACTTGAGAACATGCCGGGGCTGGCCAACTGTGGCCACAGCTGGACGCAGACTCAGGAGTGAGCCGGCAGAGATCAGAATGGTCCTGATTACCTGTGGACTTGTGAGCAAGAAGAAATTTGTGTTGTTGTAAGCCACTGAGAGTTATGGTTGCTTATTTCACAGCATTATTGCAGCCATCAATGATAGCTAGAGATGGTAGGTCGGTGGGCAGTAAAGGATTCCGAGATGCGGGAATATCTGAGACGGGTTTTAAGGCGTGACATAGTACATGCAAGGTATCTGCAAGACTGGCCTGATTAGGGGGAGGTTCTAGATTTTCAAATTAAATGCAAATTAATATTTTTGCAAGGATGTGACTTAAGCTTTTTCTTTTACATTTATATAATCGGTTACGCACAGATACTCTTTTATCCTAGGAGAGAACTTGCTTCACTTGCTTATAACACAAAGCTCATGAATTAATATGCTTTGAAATGTGCCCTAATTTAATTTTGTTTGAATTTCTGTAAAGTAATTTTAGAAACCCAGAAGAAGACTTCAACACTTGACCCAGGGAGTCCCGAAAGGCCATATGCTTGGTGTGTCAACAATGATTATTAAAATACTTAATGCACTGCTGAGTTTCCAAATGCTGAGCCCTTTCTCTGCCAAACGAGGAGGATGTTACACTGCTGGGCATTTTGAATCTGGTCAAGTTCATTTACTATTTTGTGCTGCATGTCTGCTCTCTAAAACGCATTTCCAGTCTGCAGCCTGAGGACAAAACGCCAAGGACACAGGCGGGCAGAGTCTAATTTCATATGCCTCCAGATGCACTTAAGTGAAAAATGTTTTGATTATTATTCCTTTCAATCCCAGATAAATTACATTCAATTACATAAACATCTTGAGGAGCCCCTCTGTTTTTCAAGATCCTTTAAAAAGTCTTCAGTCAAATAAATGTCCCCTTTGTTTATTTCTTAATTTTGTTTCTGTGGCTCCACCTTTCTCCTCTTATTCTCCCAGCTCCAGGAAATGACCGGGCATATCAGGCCCTCTTTCTGACCCTGCCTCCCCCAGGCTGCAGAAATGCAGTTCACCAGAGAAAGGAGCAATGTCTCAACTGCCAAAACGACAGGGCACTTCTCTGTACTTATTCCTCCTAACCTGAAATTCTACCTCTTAGCCCCAACTTGAACTACATTATGGCGAAGCCAAAGCTATTCATCCTCTTAGTTCACTCTGGCATCGCCCATCCAGTGGGAAAGGTCTTCATGTTACCCCACAACCAATCACTTTGAGGGCAGTTTTGTATTTTTTAAATAAGTGTTTTCTTTCCTTTAAAAACAAAATAAGGAAAAACTGCAATCCTATGTTTACATTGCCTTCCAGGAAAAGGCTCTGCCTCTCTGCCTCCAACCATTCATTCAGCAAATATTTACTGAGTATTTTCTACATGCTGGCAGCAATGGAGGTGGTCTCCATCCTCACAGAACTGAAAGTCCAGTAGGTGTTTTCACATCAGTGAGGCAATAATGACAAACCGAGTGAGATGCTTGGAAAGAAAGCCACACAGACCCACAGTGATACACCACAGAATCTGAAAGGACAGTCTCCAAAGAAGCAACACATAAGCTCCATTCTAAAGGACTGAACACGATTAACTGTGCAAGAAGGGAGAGGAGCATGTGCAAAGGCCGTAGGGCGGAGGGCAAGAAGGCAGGTCCCAGAAGGCCAGTGTAGCTGGGTTGCCGAGAGAAAGCGTAAGCATTGTCTGAGACGGGGTGAGGGAGGTGGGTTGGGGCACATTCTGGAGCAGGGACCTTGTAGGCATGCTCAAGATTTTAGTCTTTTATCCTAGAAGCAGTGGAAAAACACCAGAGGCCTTTAAGCCTGGAAGAGATAAAATCTTATTTTTCAGTTTGAGATGATCACTCACTGCAGTGTGGGGATGGTTTGGAGTTGAGAGATGAGAGTAGGTGAGGACAGAGCTAGAGTTCAGGGGCAAGGTGATGGGAGCTTCAGATGTGAATAGTGGTGCTGGGTATGAAAAAGTGCTCTGGTTCCTATGTATCTAACCACCTCGAGCTCAATGTCATTGTCTAAATTGCCTTTTTCACCAGATGATTCTCATGGACACCTGAGACCACACCAGAATCCTTAATTTATTTCCCAAACAGCTCTCAATACCCCTTCCTCACTAACTTAACTTGTTCACCCCTAATTTCCTCTGAGACAACATCCTGCGTCCAGAGAATACATTTAAGATCACAGCATATACCAATGACTTGTTTTGGCTTAGTAAGGTGCTGCAAGACAAAGGCTACCCTGTCTGAAATCATTGGGAAAACAGAAGGTTAAATATTTGGCTACATTAAAAGATCTCTTTTTGGAGGTCAATGAACCAAGGAAGGCCTGTCGAGGTTCAGCTAACCGAACACCTTGCTGAGTCGCTGTACTGTACTTCATCTATGATATTTATCCATCAGTAGCAGG